ATTATTTTTCTTTAAGTTTTTTAGATAGAGTCTAAATAAATGCTTGGGTACTTGTGTAATTTCCATTTACCCTTCCTACCTCAGATTAATCAGAGTTCCACAAACACTGATATATTTATATGCTAGTGGGTTATGTTGATGGCCACATTATCCTTACTCCACTGTGTACGCTTTGCTAACTCAAATTCAATTTTTATGATTTATTACTCACAAACTGCATATCACCTGTAGTATTGCTCTAATGCAGTTGTTCTCAACCTTGGCTGCACATTAGAATCACCAGGGAATCTTTTTAAAATCCTGATTTCTGGGCCTCATCCTCCGGAAATTCTGTTTCTTTGTTATGGGAATCTTTAAAAAGATTCCCAGGTGATTCTAATGTGCAGCCAAGGTTGAGAACCACTGCTCTAATGGAAGAACAGAGCCAGACGAATTATAATCAGGTGTATCTACTCTTGATTATTTATTGATGTCATCTGAGGCACTTACCTCACTGGGGATGTCTTGCAACTCATCTCCAGGGTGCTGGTTTCCTCATAGTCATCCTCAGGGTTTCCTTCATGTAAATTACTCATCACTGGTTCCTTTCCTGTTTTTCCAGTAATATCATTGTCTTCATCCTCCTCATCCAACAGCACCTCATCTTCTACTTCTTCATCATCCAGTAAATCTGAATTTTGACTGGTCACTAAAGCCTTCTCATCCTTAAAGTGACTGCCATTCATTCTTTCAAAACCACAAAAAAGAAAGGGGTTCAGTTACTGGTTTCCTGTTTAAACATGCATTTAGCTTTATTGTTGTGTCTTCGTGACAACAGTTTACCTTTTTAACACTTCGATGGTAATTTTATTGTTTATGTTTTATGGCAACCATGGGAAAATAATGTAACTTCACAAATAAGAAAATAAAGAAAAAAATAATTGGGTGACTATTCAGATTATAAATAGAGCCTCCAGCAGAACTGGAAAAACAATCCAGTCTCCGATTCCTTATCAGGCTCTTGCCTGATAAATGATATCGTTATATATGATATAAAAAGCACACCAATGTTTTCTCTACATAATGTTACCAAATCACCACATAAGTACCCACCAATTAAAATAATAGATTTCTGGAAAACTCATATCCCTGAGCAACATTGAAAAAAGGCCAACACACATGTCTAAAGTGAATCTAAGAGTTCCAAAAAACTGGTAAGGTTGCTACCAAAGACCAACCAGTATTAGACATTTCTAGGTAACATTGGTGGTATATGCCACTTAGACATCCATTCACACTTTGAAATATTTGAGGGTGCACTTCTTTGTATCACTTTCAAGTTACCCTTGATGGCTTGAATGTAAAAAAGTTCCTTTATCCCACGATAACGTTGAGGTGGGAAATGATCTAAAAATGTAATTGTACAAATACCTTTTGAAGCTTACTTAAGCAAGCATATCAAATATAATGATAAAAAGGAAGACTATTATATTTAAAAAGTCATTTGTAATATTTTAGGCTGTGGCTAGAAGGGTTGCAATATGTGATTCAAAAGTTTAATTATAAAAAGAGTTAAATTATATAGACATCCTAATTTAATACATTTGAGAGCATTTATGAAACCAGGATAAACTTTTCTGGCTTTAAAGTAAACATTAAAATATGTGTAAATTAAAGTTAAATTTCATGGTAAAATTTAAAAGTTGAAAATAAGCTACAAAATAATTATCACTTGTTTTGTGTAAGTTTTGGGAACGTTTTTGTTCATACAACAAGGAGAGAGGGTGAGGCAGAACAGACTGGTGGCAAACGCTTGGGCTGTGGATATTTCAAAGAATGTCTTCTCCTAACCATCTCCTTTTAAAGATATATGGCCAGGGAAGTGAAGACACTTGCCCAAGTTCAGAAAGCTTTTTAAAGATTAAAACTTCATAGGCATCCAGGTGTTCCGATTCCTGTGCCATTCAAAATCTTTCCATTTTTTTAATTTACTGATTAAAACACTTGCTGACATTGTTATGTTATTGTTACAGTCATGTGCAATTTTAACATTTAATGTAACTATTTTCCAGATTATGGAAAATCAGGTACCAGTGATAAATCCATCACTTTCCCACATTTAGAAATATAAGAGCATTTAAAATTTAGATTCCCAGGGTAAACAATAAATAAAACAACCTTGGGTGTGACAGATGCACTAGAAAAAACCTATTTAACCAGCAAAAATCATATCATCATTATTAAGTTTTTTTTATACAACTAATCTCCTAACCTCTTTTATCAGAGAATGATGAAAACATGTTTTGCACAGACATAATTATTAGTTTCCAGTTACACTGCCAACTTGTTCTTTTAAATGGATTGAAATTGTTATTTTAAAAAATGAAAGAAAAAGTAAAAGAACAAAAGAGTGCATGGATGAAAACCAAAATTAACAAAGCCAACATGATTAAGAAAGCCTATTTGTTAATTATGCTTTCAAATGTGGCAACTTATCGGGGATAAATTATTCATCAAAAGTAGTCTGATAGGAGATGGGGGGGGTAGTTAGATGACTCAGTCTTCTTACTTCTGTGCTGTTTAGACATGTTGAAGCCAGATGTTGCAGCTATAAAGTTCACAAATCTCCAATTAAGGGCTAGAAAATCTGAGTAGGCATCTCAGAACACAAATTATGCTTTTTGTTTGTTTACTATTTCTTATTTGCATCATGTAAATATCATTATCAAAATGTAAGATTATCTTTCTTACTTGTTACTAGTTTGTACTTTTGATTCTCTCTCTCTCTCTCTCTCTCTCTCTCTCTCTCTCTCTCTCTGGTGAGCAGAGGAAAAGATACATCCAACTGCACTTCTTAGAGGCTGAAAAAGGCTACACAATAGCAGATCTCTCCTTTTTTCCTTTGATACACTTTTATACAACTTGAAGGGTAGAAGTGGTCATATATTTTTATGTTATTTTGGGAAATAATGTTTATTTGAAGCTTGCCTTAATGGAAAAATTGTCTAACATAATTAACTTTGACTTTTAATAGCATCAAAAACAGAGAACACTAACAATAATACTTGTGTGGTAAAAAGTAATGGTACTTTTATTAACTAATTCCATATGACTTTAAAATGTACAATGTAGTGCCCCGGCCGGTGTGGCTCAGTTGTTGAGCATCGACCCATGAACCAGGAGGTCGAACACAGCTTGATTCCCAGTCAGGGCACATGCCCAGGTTGCAGGCTTGGTCCCCAGTAGGGGGTGAGCAGGCGGCACCTGATTGATGATTCTCTTCATCATTGATGTTTCTATCACTCCCTTTCCCTTCCTCTCTGAAATCAATCAAAAACATTGATGTAGCATCTTAATTGAATAGGCCATTGGATAGTTATGTTTAGAAATATCTGGTTCTCAATATTGTATATTTAATTATACCTTACAGATAAGAAAAATTCAGTAGTTTTGGTAAAATCATGTTTCATTAACTTCATATAAAATGTAAAACACTAGGTAAGTGTTATTCTTATTAGCAGCATTAAAAGTTTTCTTTATGAATTAAGCCATATGTGCTTAATGTTGATGATGAGACAAGAGGGATCCAGTGCACCAGGTAACTGAAAGTAAGGATGATCCTACCCACTGAAACCAACATGACAGAATTCTATGGGCATACGCTGATAGCTTATAAGGAGGTGATAGAATCTTATTAAGAAGTCTCCAGTGGTTTCTAAAAGAAGATGTATATGACACTCAGTGGGTACTTTATACAATATGTACATATACATAATATATATACAGATATATACAGTCATACATATAGTCATAAAATATGTAATATATACAACACATGGCATATAATAGTAGCTACTATTGCCCAGTGATTCAAATGAATCCCTGTGGTGTTGTTATTCCATTCTACTTGGTAATTTTTGATAAAATATTCTAGTTAGTATCAAGAAAGGCAGAACAGACTGGTGGCAAAAGCCTGGGCTCTGGAATCAGTCAGCCCAGGTTGAATCCCATTTATCACTTATATGACCTTTGCCAAGTGTTTTAACCTTAGATGTCTCCATTTCCTTCAAAGATAAAATTATATAATAATGGTCACTATCTGGTAGTGTTACTAAGACAATTAAATGAATTAATCCATGTGAAGTGCTTAGAAGAGCATTTCGTATTTAATCTCAAAATAAGTGCCAGCCACGGGTGGTAGGACTAACAGTAGTATATTAATAACAAAAATAAACGCAGCAAATGTATCTGGAAAGATGTTCGTTTCAGAAATCACGAGTTTAAAAACCAGCTTTACCTCTCCTCTGTGTTCCTGGGAGACTGGCTGCCATGGCTGCTATTCCCAATGAAATTTCTAATTTCTGTGAAGTAAGCATCTTCCTTATCATCAAGAATCGCACCTGTGCTTTCCAGTTCAGAATGAGGCGAAGATGTTGCTGTACCTGAGGGGAGAGAAGGCCTTGTGTGAAAAAGACTATTATTTAGATGGCAACTAATTTTGAATTGCATTCCTTCTTCATTTGGTCAGTGTTGTTTCCCCAAACAGGCTCTTTGAATATTAATAATGGTAACTTTAGGAGGTCAAGGCCATCCTAATTTATCACAGTACATATGCCAATGAAAGTCCCTTGGGGAATATTTTGAACTATTGGACTCATGAGGTATAGTCTCCCAAAGATGTTATTTCTCCCAGTAGCTTCCTCTTATTCCCACTGTGGCATGGGAACGGTTTTGTGCATACAATGAAGGTGAAGCAAATTATAGAGAAGTCTTAAATGGCTTCTGCCAGAAGAAGCTACATCAGTCCCGGTTGCAGTCAACATGTATTTATTGCTCCAGTGCTAAAGTGTGTTACTAAAACAGATTGACAACATGCAGAAAATTCTGCATTCTGATTTGGTGGGCTGAGCCATTAGTAGACCGTGCACAGCAGTAAGAGGACAATATTGAATGGTCTTCAGGTTCTTTACCTAAAACATTTAGAATCATAATACCTGCATCAATAGATTGTTGCAAGGCTTCCATAAATGTACACAATTATAAACACTTCATATGTGGTCAGACTCTACACTAACAGTAACTTCATGCCCACAAAATATTGGCAATTTAACAGTTCATCACAATAGTCTAGATGACAAAACCAAGGGGTTTAGAACTTCCCTCAACTTAATACATTTATAATCTGGGTCAACAAGTAAGTATTCAGCTATGACACAATACATTTTTTAATTTATCTATTTTATTTCTGAAATAATTTTAACTAGAACTTTTTCATAGCATACTGTAAGGGTGCACAGTATTGGAAAGTATAGCCAATCCTATATAATAAAGAGGTAATAAGCAAATTGACCATCATGCCCTCGCACAAGATGGCTGCCCCCATGTGATCACAAGATGGCCACTACAAAATGGTCAGCAGGAGAAGGCAGTGGGGGGACCAGTCCTGCAGGGGAGGGCAATTGGGGTCAATTGGGTTGACAGGGGAGGGCAGTTTGGGACAATCGGGCCTGCAGGGGAGCAGTTAGGCATTGATCAAGCTGGTAGGGGAGTAGTTAGGGGGTGATCAGGCTGGCAGGGATCAGGCCTAAACCAGCAGTCAGACATGCCCTGAGGGGTCCCAGATTGGAGAGGGTGCAGGCTGGGCTGACGGACATCACCCTCCCAACCCCAGTGCACAAAATTTGTGCACTGGGCTTCTAGTATTGTATATTGGATTAGACTTCTGTCTCTAAAATCTGATATTTTAAAATCATGATCATTTGATTTCTCATTTTGGGGAAAATGAACAGTATATATCTCTAAGTAGTAGTCATCCAAGATCATAAGTTATATGCCTGTACAGTGGAGGAAGAATTCATTAAAAAATGCATTCCCTAAGTAAAGATTTATACTTTGTATAATTCCAATTCTTTTCTGTTCTTAAAAATCTCTTTTCCTGAACTCCATACTCACCCTTTCCTCCCACTCCCAAATTACTTTCTTAATTCTCTAGAAACAAATTGTGGCTGCACAGATTGGCTCCACACACATATGCCAGCAGGGAGATGTTAATGGCTTAGTATCTAACTATTGGAATCCAAAGGCAAGAAAACCCATCATCTCTTCTGCTATGTGCTGACAGGTCTGGGCTAAGGGAAGTTTTTTTGTGTGTGTTTTGTGTGTGGTTTGTTTTTTTTTTTGCCACTTTTAACTTAATTCTACATCAGAATTTGTGACCAAAACCACATACCACTGTCATTTGTTATGGGTGACTCTGATCATGTCCACAATCTCCTATCATTGGTCTCTAACAAAGTTACCCAGCAGAGGTTCTCCCAGCTCCAGAACTGCTGCAAAAGCAGCCACGGGTTTCTGGTCAATATTCAGAACGTGGTGTTCTGGTGTTGCACTCCGGAAATCCTACACTCCTGGGGCACAGTCTGTGCCAATAGGTGGAAAGATTGTTGCCTGCAATTCAGGAAATCTTGATTTCTAAGTCTCCTGAGAGTCTGAGTCATGCTCCTCTTGGAGACTGCCCACTGAGATGAATCCAGAAGAAGAAAAGAACATTTAAACAAGGCTCTGAGTTGTATATTATTCAATGATCACATCATCCTAAAATCTCCAGGAAAACATGCTGCAAATTTTTCCAACAGAATCTGATTCTAGAGTCCATGTGGAATGGGAGAAGTGAGATTAACATTTCACATTTTAAAAAAGCCATCGTCTCCTCACAACACAACTGATTACCTACCAGACATGTTCCCATTCTCATGTTTCTTTAGGTGTCTGTCTAAGTTGGTTTGTTGACCAAAACACCTATCACATAAATGACACTTAAAGGGCTTCTCCTTATTGTGGATGTTGCGAACATGCCGCTGCAAGTTAGAAGATATGCTAAAGGATCTGTCACAGTATTTGCACCTGAAAAATAAACACAGAGAACGTTGGCAGGCAAATCAAAAGATATTTCTCAAGAACAGTAACCCCAATATCCAGAATTATCACCTAGAAAACAACATTTTGGAGAAACGGCACAAGCAAGAACACTGTTCACACAGTCAACTTTTCAATCCCAATAGACTGATTGCTTTAAAGATTCTCATGACTTTTTGAAAAACAATAATAAAAATATTGGTGATTCGATGGATCCTAAATTTACTAACATAATCAGTTCTAATATTTAAAATAAACCTCATAAAATTAAGAACATTAAGAACTAACAGTTTTGTTTTACTTTCCTCTGAGAACAATTCAATCATTTTCAAACAAACATGAAGCAAATCCACAAATTCTGCAAATAAAGTGAAAAGATCATTTTTTTATAAAAAAAGTCAGTTTAATTAAATAATTTCTTAGTCAATTCACTTTCTCACTTGCTAATCCTAAAAGAAATTCTTTTATCTTCTCCAAAATATCAATAAACTTTCCAAACTTTTAAAACTGAAAAAATGTGAATAGTTTAGTCTGATACCAAAGATACTGATTTTTATAAGCTGTAGTGATTAAGATCCCCAAAATCCTTTACTCTATTAATTTTTAAACTTACAAAAGAAAGTAAAAGGGCCACTACATTCTCCTTTTGGAATAAAAACAAAAAAGTCTCCCTTCACTCACCTCCCCTCTCCACTCCCCCAATTTTCCATTTCTATTTTTGTTAAAGTGTCTGTAGCCGTTCTGAACCAGGTCAGTTTTTCAGGAAAGCACTTATTATTAGTTAGCTAATATTTGGAAGTTTTCCTTTAGACACAAAATGAAAATGCAATCCCTCTCCCACCCAGCTCTTATGGTTGAGGAAAACAAGTGGTAATTTATGGGGTATTCTCTAGCATGTTAAAGTAGAGATTACATTATGCATTTTGTATTTTTTTGTATATATACTGCTTGAAAGAAAAATACCAAGTTTCTCCAGATAATTTTTAAGTGAAAATTTTTAACTTAGCAGCCAGAAATTTCTTCACTCATTCTTCCATGTGTGAAGGGCCCTTCTCCTCCCACTTCTGAATGCAGACTCAGTGGCTCAAGTGCTCTCCATCAAAAATCACCCCATTCCACGCCAAGTGTTTGGGCTTCTACGGCTGTCTCTAGGTGATGCCAGAAGTCTCGTTAGCTCAGTGGGGAAAAGAAATCTGTTAAACTAGTTACTTTGGCATAGTATCAATAAACCAACTCAAGGACTGATTTAATTTTCCCCTTTAAGAAACTATTCTGGCATCATGAGGTTCCTTAACTTTCCCCACTTATAATATTAATTTAAAAGTGTGTGAAACCCCACGTTGATAGTAGTTGTAATATTTTAGCCTCTGTTTTTGAAAAGAAAAAATGTGTATATACACACACACACACAGGATGGGGCAAAAGTAGGTTTATAGTTGTTCGTATGGAAAAAATACAATAATCAATAAATAATTATACAAGAATAAACCCTGTTTCATGAACTCACAACTGTAAACTTACTTTTGCCCCACCATAGGTGTGTGTGCATATATATATATATATATATAGAGAGAGAGAGAGAGAGAGAGAGAGAGAGAGAGTGAGTCTTGGCCTTCTCCATAATAGTCAACTTCCTGGGCTCACTGAAGTTGACAACCATGGTACAATGAGCACAACTGTGTTGTATGCTAAGCAGAACAACCTGGGAAATACTGAGAGAGAAAACGTATCTTCCCATAAAACACTTTAGAAAACTTTCCACCAGAACAGTTTCTACACAAATTGTAAGGAAGAGAGATTTTGTCATTGACATGCTTCCAACTTTCTGCCTGTATGAAAAGGGGCTTTTCCAAATTTAATAAACATCATCCACTCTAATATAAATAAAATTGGCCAATAAGGATAATAATTATCTGTTACTTTGTATCTTTCCTTTGTTAATGTCTTGGCCAAAAGGTTGAGTGCTCTTAAATAAAAAATTTTTAAAAATCATTCCATTCTCCTCGAATAAATTAGTAAGTGGTTAAAAGCCTAAGCTTCAGAAATCCTTAAAATGAATAAACACACAGCACAATCATAAGCAATAAACTGGTGAGAATTTGGATGTAAACAGGGTCACGAGAGCCTTTGGGGTCAGGCATGAGATATAAACCTGACGTGAGCGCTCCAGGCCTGGGTTTTAATTCTGGGTCTATCAGCACCAGACTTTATAGAAAGCAATTAGCATCCGTGGATCTGAATCTGTTCACTTGTTAAACAGAGGAGCTGGGTAAATAATTAAGATCTCTAGCTATGCACATATTTTGGTTTGTGTTTTTAAAAATACACAGACAATAATAGCCCCATATTTGAGATGGAATAACACCACTGAATTGAGGTATAAAGAAAGAGTAAAATAAGCATCTATAATAATAAAAGTGTAATATGCAAATCGACCGAATGACCGAACAGCAGAACAACCGTCCGGATGACCTTCCAGATGACCACGTTATGACACCCACTGGCACCAGGCCAGCCAAGGTGGGTGCAATGCAATTGGTTGGGGGCCTGGCCATTGCCCCACGATTGCCCTGCAGAGGGAGGCCCAGGCCACTAGCCAGCAGGGTGATTGATCAATCAGGGGGCTCCACAATCGCCCCAAAAAGGGAAGGCCAGGCCACTGACCAGCGGATGGCAGTGGGTGGATGAGGCCTCCCTCTGTGGGGGTGATCCATTGTGGAGTCCCGATCAGGTGGGCAGGGCCTACCTGTTTGGGACGATCAATGGCAGAGCCCTGCGATGGATTGCCCCAAAGAGGGAGGCCCAGGCTATCCTGCAGCAGCCCTGTGGTGGGTGGGCGGGGCCTCCCTCTTGGGGGGGGGCGGGTGATCCATTGCAGAGCCCTTGCCAGGTGGGCAGGGCCTACCTCTTTGGGATAATCGATCGCAGGGCTCCCCGACTGTGAAAGGGCACAGGCTGGGCTAAAGGACGCCCCCACTCCCTCGAGTGCATGAATTCCATGCACCAGGCCTCTAGTAATATCATAGTTACCTATAAGACCCTTGGCCATAACAAAATGTAAGTGTGGACATCTTTCACTTAAGTACAATTCCTGGGAATCTAAAATTTTTTTCCAAAAAGGAAAGTACTTAACAATTTACATTTATATACATCTCTGAGACCTATTATATCAAGTGTATTCTATCACATATAAAATATAAATATTACTTATGATTAGTCATCTATAAAACATGTAGGAAAGCGAAGAATCTCAGAAAACACTTCATTAATTTCTGCTTAAGTCCCTCTAGTTTTCTCCTTAAATTTCCATTATCTTCAAATAAGCATTGGTCTGCCCACTTCTTTTATTCTTTGCATGTAAAAAGACTTTGAAACCTAATAAATAATTTATTTTTAATGGAAAAAGTGAGCATTCAGACAAAAATAATTTTACTCATATGCAATGCATAAGAATTTCAAAGCAGAATGAAATTACACTATCACTAAAGATAAACAACATTCATTCTTTGAAGAAATATTTATGAGTACCTAATACTATGTGCAAAGCATTGCATAGTAAATAATGTAGGTTATATTTTAAAACTGGAAGGGAGAATACTGATTACTTTCATTCTTTAGTAAACAATAATATTAAAATTAGATATGTGCTCATATGTCTTGTGGCTGATCTTGACATTTAACAGAATAAACTAAGAGGTACTTTAGAAATTTGTTGGTGGAATTGCCCCTCTTCCTATAATATGTTTTATTTTACTTGTTTGACCCCTGGTTCCATATTTTTTTTTTCCTTCCAGGTTTAAGGTTCATTCTTTTAACCCCCTAATGAGACCTGTGGACATTAACTCAACTCTACTGGGAAAGCGAAGTAATATCCCAGTTGTTAACTCCCAGCTGAGACTTAGGTTTGAAAAAAGAGGCTGTAACGCTGTAATTATTTTCAATTAAATAGCACTAATTATTGAGAAAAGAGAGAACTAAAATAATTTTTAAATGATCAACATTTCTTAAACACATATCTGTAATAGATATTGCTAGAACTTTTAAACTGAGATATAAGAAGTTTTGATTAAATAAATTAGGATGCTTCTAATTTTCATCCTAGCCATTAATTAATTCTTCTTTGACTCAAAATTAAACAGACATACATTCACCTATGTCTCAAAGAAGTTACCTTTAAAATTGTGGCAATGCATCCACTTTAATTACTACAATGTTTATCAAGATATTTAGTAAAAATCATTGTCAAACCTGTAAGGCTGCTCTCCTGTGTGGGTTCTCAAGTGCCGTGTTAGGTTCGCAGACCTTGGAAAAATCTTGCCACAGTATCTGTTATGAAAAGATGTTTATAAGAGAAAGTCAGTACAATTGACTTTGTTTCACTCAAGCCGCGTAGAAGCCAGATGCTTATTCCCGATTTAATTAATCCTGCATGGAACTCACATGTCTTTGGTATTTAAAATTTGCAATAAAGCCATTCTAAAGATATAAATAACTCTACAAACGAAGGCTGCCGTTACGAGATCTGGTTGAATTTGGTGATGCATAAACAAGCAGTTTATGAAAATAGACTTTCGTTTTGATGACCCCCATACGCCTCTTTTATTAACTCTGTATCTTTATATTCATGAAACTGAGCCAGACAAGGAGATAAAAAAAAAATGACAAGAGTCTGTGATTCTGGGTTGATGTAAACAGATTTCAAATGTTTCAACTCATTTTACATGTTAGCCGCAGTGACAACTCTCTGTACATTGAGTGGTATCAGAGCAGACAAGATTCTAAGACCTCATCCATCAAGGTATGTCCCTGGAAAATCTTTTCTGGAAACAGAGTGACATATTTTCCAAAGAGCAGATAAATTGATTTGCCTGAGTCAGATGCCACAAATTTCTGAAGACAATGTAGAAATTATAAGCGTAATTTATTTTTTAAAAAAGAAACAAAAAAAGGCTTGATGAGTAACAAGAAACTTATTAACTAGCTTTCTTCACTTATCGACCTTATTCGTCCTTCATTAATGGCCTTATTTTTCAATGCCACGACAATTAATAAATGTATGCTTGAGGACAGTAGTAGTATACTTCGGGATGAAAATAATTAACTGTGAAAGAAAATTCATAAATATCAAAGTGAAACAAGTAGATAGTATTTGGACTGCTTCCAACCTCATTTATCACAACCAAATGGCCTGTGTTAAAATTCTCATTTAATAATAATTTTTTAAAAACCACTACTTTTATATCTCACTAAATAAAGGGTACTTTGAAGTGCTCGAGATCTATCATGGTCGCGATTAATCATCCAATCAAGAATAATTTCCAAAACAAACAGCAGGGCCTTTGAAATCAGAGGGGAGATTTTTGGAAAGGCAGTCATAATGAACTTGGCAGTTACCTGCAGGTATAGCGCTCCTTGCCTTTCCTCAGGAGGTTCTCCGGCAGGGCGTTGGGAGGCGCTCTGAAGTTGAACATGGACGGAACTGACTGTAGGAGTTCACTGGCCTCAGGTTTCAGGGCACTGAAGCTCTCCAGCTTCTCCGCCATGTTTTCAATAGCTGACATCTGAAAGGCAAAAGCACGAAACCATGAAGGACCCATCTGACGCCTTTTCTTCTGTAATAATCCCTAGCAAACCATGAGCATCATTAATTAAAAGGAAGCATCAAATCTGCTGAATGAAACGGTCTGTAGAGAGAGAGGTCGTAGTGTCCCAATATTAAACAAACAGTAAGAGAATTTATTGATTTTGGAAATAATAAAGGTTATAAAGCTCATAAAATGCTGGGTATCCCTTTTCATAGGACCTTGGTGAGAGCATTTTATAATAATCTGATGTACAATTGAGCAATGAAATATATGAGAGATAATAAAGCTGAATTAGATTTTTATTAAATTAAGTGAGAGCATTGGTATCATGTTATGGATACCGACAGTAAACTGGAAATTATAGGGAAAGGTCCTGTAGGCCTTTCTAGTTAATAAAAACCATAGGAAGCATGGAGTCCCATGAAAAGAACTCACAGCATGAAAAACATCAAGTGTTTCAAAGTTCAGCTTAAGCCAAATGTGTCTAACTCAGAAAGAAAAATTAAATGGGTAAGAGGTGTTTTGCCTAAGACGATGTTTATTAATATCTGGAATACTACATTTTAAATGGGATCATATACAAAGAATTTTGATGACATATTCATTTGTTTTGGACAAAGACTGAGTGGGAAGGACAGTTCATAATATTATAACTTCATATTACATAACTTGGCATGGGTGTTATAAAGGGAGTAATTAGTATAATCACATTCTTAGAGAAGTATTCTTGGAAGAAATCTATGCTAATTCTTCCCATCAAACAATCTTATTTTGCTTATAATCTTCAAGTTTTTGTCCACCTGCGTATGTATTTGACACAGTCACAATCAGAGGGTGGCACTGACTTTTAAAGTGACTTGATCCTTAGCGTCCACAGTTAGTGGGACTATCCCCTTTCTTTCAACACGCTCAAAATGTTGAGTTTCCTCAGTGCTTACATTTTATTTGGAAGCTGCTTACTACTGAATTTTTAAGCAGAAAAAGCAAACTCTCAGGCCGTCTTGTTAAATCAACTCTCCCATTATTTATTTGGTTCTCAGGGCACTATGCCACTGGAGAGCTCAGAGAGCTGTTAAAAAGGTGTTTGCACTCTATATGCACTCTGTATGTTTCTCAAAGAGCTGGGGTGGTAGACCAGAAGGCTCCAAGCAAGGATTAAAAATGGTAACGACTGCACAGTCAAGCAACTGTTCAACCCAAGAGGATGATTCTTTTGCTGATGAGATGGCAGGACAGAGCTGGAGGCCTAATTTATAAGCTCAGGTTAAAAATAAATAGCAACACTTCCTACTCAAAAGGAAAATTAAAAAAATAATTCATTCCGTGGACATGCACCTGGACAGAACACCATTGACTTCTTAAAGTAGAGCAAAATCTTCACAGAATGTCCTGAACATGATTCTCTTCTTACAAAGGGAATATTTTATGCTCACTTCTTCAAATGACTATTCATGTTGTAGTTAGCTCTCTTTCTTTTCCCTTTATCCTGGAGCCTGCCCTTTCATTTCATGCTGGGACTCCTACAAATTGCAACGTACAGGGTTCCACTGCCAATTTGCCAAATGTCTTTCATCAAACACGGTGCAAAAAAATCTCAGAGGAAAGTCAAGATACATTTACTTGTCAGACGACAAATGTGAACGCATTGGGAGGCAGTAGGGGCTGTAAGCTCAGGGGTTTGATTCATAATCACTCAGCTGCTAAAACATTCTCCACAGATGCAAGCGGACAGCACATTTGTCACTATGAAGGATTTTGACATGTACTGATCACAGGGCAGAGATACGGAATGATGCTGCTGCTCAGAGAGGTTGGTGGAAACTCTGTCCCTGAAGGATTTGGTCATTATCCCCCTCTAGCCAGAGCATTAGCATTTTCATATTACTTAGGATTTTATTTATTAAAAATCAATCCAGAAATATTTTATGATACTAATTTATTTGCATTTATTCCTTCTAATTGTTCCTTGTAGAAAATCATTTTGATATTCCGCCCTCCATGGAATAAATTGTCTGAGTGAAAAATGACCTCTAGCCTTCAAGCTGATTAGCAGTAACAAGCCAGGGTAAGGGTCATGATCGCATATATTTATTGGGCAGAATAGAAAGTGCATGGGTGATGATTATAAATGTTTTATTTATGTACATTTAATATGTGAGTAAAGTTTCATTATCTAGTGGTTTTAAATCATTTGAGTGTCCGCCCTGCTGACACACTCAGATTCCTGTGGCAATACATCTTATAGAAACACTTTTCCTTTTATATGGAAAATATCTTACTCATGACTATTAGTATTCTCGGCTTTCATCTATAGCTCATATAAACTACAAGTCCTTTAAGTTATTTAAGAGCAATTGGCTGTTGGGAAATGTGTCTTGCTTTAGTAGCTGCTAATAGCTCCTTTTGAAGAAAGATCACTGTGATTATTTTACCTCAAACTGTTTTGATTTGGGAAAACCATCAAGAAACAAGACAATATATTATGGGCTTGATGACTAATAATGACATTCTTAAAGATAATAGGGGTTACCCAAGTGCCTCTGCATAAGCCACCCCCACCTTGGGCTTCTGGTGTCAAAAGGAAGGAGGATTAACTTTGAGTGGGGAAATGGGAGAGACGATGGGAAGTGAGCTGAGGGTAGCTATTAACACTACACATAAACACACCACCACTTTCTGTCTGGCTAGTTACAACTGAGCAACATAAAAGCCATCACTGAATCCTTCCTTTCATTTTCATAAGATTTGTTCTCATAGCACTTGACCTCAGTTAAAAAGGATATATTTCCCCATTAGAACCAATAGAAATAACTTAAACATTTGCAAGTTGGGTAGTTTAGCAGTTCTGTGACCAACCTCAGCCCTAGTGTCAGTATTTCAAATGAAGATGTTGGATTTAGATGAGCTTTATTTAGCGTATGTGTCAACACCCCCACTTTCTTTGGCTATAAGGTCTGACTTATACGATGTTCCTCTTGAAATAACACCCATTTTACAGAAGTGGTAAGTTTTGACATTCATTTTTATAAGGTCTGACTTGATATTTTAAAAAGATGAATTGGCCACAGACAATGGGGAAGTGAGGGCCTGGGGAAAGGGGTGGAGGTGGGCTAGAGAAGTTAATGGGGGGAAAAGGGGGACATATGTAATACTTTCAAGAATAAAGAATTATTTTAAAAACAAAAAAAATGTTGAAGTTAAAAAAACGATGAATTGAGATAAATGGAACAGTATTTATTTTTCAATTATGAAAAATCCAATGAAGAGGGCAACATGTACTACTATGAATAAGCCATTTGCTGAGAGTGGGAAAACTAAAGGAGGAAAAGATAGATCATATATTTTAGAAATGTATTGCTCTACGCCCTATTAATGTCATAGGCTAATCTCTGATCTGTAAATGACAGTGATTTTTTATGGAACAGTAATTTTTATTTATATATATAATAGTTGTTGATGGTATCTGCAGCCAGATGTCAGGAAAAGGAAGTCATTTCACCCCCTTCCAGTCCCCAAGAGGCTATTAACTTTATACTGACGCAAACTAATATTTAGATACAACTCCCTCATTTTTAGAAAAAAAAGTACCTATATTCAAGTAAAGTTAGTATTTTTAAAAACATTTCAGCAGGCAAGATATCATCAATGGGCTCCTAAGTACTTAGCTTAACATTGTTATCTGGCAGCCAATAATTGATGACATAAAGAAGTTTCTCATTAAAACTATTAAAGTGACAATCTGATTAAAAGAAATGATATGTCCAATGACACCATAAATTATGTGACCCAATGTTTCACAAATTAGAGTACACATGCCTTTATCATAAAATAACTAACTTTTCATAAATAACTTCTGATGGGAAAGTTTGTAGATTTGGTAGTTTTCTATATTTATTCACTTGATAACCTTGAGAAGTCTCAAAATTATGGCCATTTGGGGGGGAAGTAAATATTCATATTTTATCATTATGTCACTCATGTATCACACTCAGCAATCATGATTATTTAGAGGTTTTTTTTTACCACTAAAAGGTAAAAGCATGTATATTTAACGTTTCCCACTAATATCCATGTTTTATAATACACATATAAATCACAGCTCTGAAGAAAACCTATGAACCAATGAAATGAGTGTGTTTTCAAAGAACTGCAATGGGAGTTCCTATACTGTTGTATTATCAGCAAATGGAATCTAACTTAAAATCTGAAATGGGCTTCAGAAGATGGTAGAACCACGGCCATTTATGTAGGGGACAGCACCTTATGCTTGAAGCAGCTACCAATATAGCCACTGGGAAGTAATACTCCACCATAGAAAGTGAGGACCTCGAAGCACCTTGAGACTCAAGACCTACCCATGCCAGGAAAGGCAGATGAGAAATACTGGAAATATAGGCCAGGGTAATCAAAGAAAAACCTATACAACTTTGCCTAAGTCTCTCTCTCTCTCTCTCTCTCTCTTTCTCTCTCTCTCTCTCTCTCTCCCCTTATACTTTTGAAATAAATGAACTTAATCCTTAAAAGTCTATCAGTATGAGAAAAAATCGTAATTCATCTCCTATTCCATAAAAGAAAGAAAAAGGAGGAATTTCTGATAAAGGAAAACCAACATCAGATAGAGGAAATAAGTGTTAAAGTGCTCCAACTTCAAATAATTTATATATAATTTTATGTAGTGACTAAAGAAAAATTGAACTGCATTCCAAAATTTTACCCATACCTCAAAAATCAGAATATTTGAGTGAACAAAGAAAATGAAACAGCAAAAGCACATACACGCAGAGGGAATTTTGTAATCGGTGTTATTTACATACATTTCAATTGACCCAAGGCTTCTTTGAGAGTGAAAACTAAATAAACACTATATTTTTCTTGAATAAAAAATAAAGTTGTCCCTTTATTGTTTATTAACTGACAACTGACTGGAAATGTAACTAAAAGCTAAGGAAGTGAGACCCAATGCTAAAAGATCCATTCATTAGCTGGATATAGTTTTTAAGCATTTATTCTTTTTTCTCCATATAGCTAAAACCAAGTTCTGCCCTGGGATATATGGATGTATTTCCAAGTCAGCTTGTGTCTACACATAAGTTCATGTTTTATCCTTTTGAAGCCTTTATCAAAAGCATTTTTAACATGCAGATATGGGCTCCCCCAAATAATGGTTGTTCCCACTTAGTGACCTATCTCAAAGCCTCTGCTAATAACATGCTCCCAGGTGCTCAAAAAGAGTTCTACATCAAGGTATAATTATGTGGACTGAGTCAGATTTATAGAATCAACTTCCTAGAGCATTCTAAATGTCCAATTATAATGGAAAATATTTCACAGCTTCACAAGTTGAAAAACTATCTACTGAAGCCATATCATTGAATAGAAAGGGGCTCAGAATTCTTTATGCCTGTAAAGCAATTTAGAGTATAAGTTGTCCTTTTAATGCTACATTATTTTAGTCAAAAATATAAGCAGGAAACTTACCCAAGTTCTCTGATCAGGCAGTTGGAACTGGGAGCAAAATTGAAACAAAAACAAAAAATTACTTCTGTATCGGTATCTTTACCAAAATCTATCCTTTGAGAAATTAACATTTATACTAACTTAGTAATTTTGCTTATCGGGTAACTATACCTTAAGTAAAAGCTGTGGACATGAAAAATAAATATTTTATAACACTGCTGAGTCTCCTCTATTTATGTAAATTAAATTTTAGAATCGTTTATAAACTAGAATGTTCTTTTCCCAAGAAAGCTAAATGCTGTCTACTACCAACTCTTAAATAGCAAAACAGATACTTATTGTTTTTACTCATTGTAGAACAAGATTCCTAAATTTTACTTAAATAGCTAAAAATAGCAATTTCCTGAAAAAATATAGTCTCTTGTATTTTTACAATGTTAATAACAAAGAAAACAAAATATTTACTCAAATGTAAATCACTGACTAACAAAAAGTTATGTACTTGGAAGTACACTGATTGACTTTTACTAGCATGGGACTCAGGCTATCAGTAATCAGAACACCTTAATTAAGAACTACACAGTCTAGTTATTTATGACAAGAATCACTGAAGAAAACATGATGGACTTAGAAGCTCTTCCAGAAAACACAAATGTTATACCCTTAAAAATATCATTTTGAAGCTAGAGGAGTTCATCACCACCAAACCAATATTATATGAAATGCTGAAGGGTATTCTTTAAGAAGAGGAAGAAGAAGAAGAAAAAAGTAAAGATAAAAAATATGAACAACAAAGTGGCAACAAATACCTATCAACAATTGAATCTAAAAATCAAACGAATAAAAAATCTGATGAACAGAATAAACTGGTGAATGGAATAGAATCCGGGGCATGGAGATGAACAGATTGACAATTCTCAGGGGGAAAGAGGCTGGGCAGGGGTGTCGGGAAGAGATTAGACAAAGATCTTATATGCATGTATGTATTACCTATGGACACAGACAATAGGGTGGTGAGGGCCTGGGACAGGGTGGGAACCAGGTGGAGGGAAGCTATAGGAGGAAAAAAGAGGGATCTATGTAATAATTTCAACAATAAAGATTAATTTTTTAAAAAAGTTCTGCATAAGAAAAAATATATATATATCATTTTGCCTGGTTTAACGGATATGCCTTGCTATGATAAGTTTTAGAATATTTAATAAGGAAGGCACAGTTTTTAAGGATGAAATGTTTATTACAAAAGTAATATAAAAATAAGAAACACTTGTTGAAAGCAAAGTAGAAGATGAAGGACAGAAGACTTAAGTGATTTCACATTAATTTATAATTGATACCTTAGAATAAAACTATTTTTTTCTCAGTTTTTTTGGATGCAGTAACAGCATACATAGTGGGACACTTTATACAAAAGAAAATAAAAATGAATAAAATTCAGAAGTAGAAGTAAAACAGAATCTCTCCTGCAAGTGTACACAAAGCCAAACATCTGAAAGCAAAATGCATACTTTGTTACTAATATTAAATATATAGGAAAATCAAACTAAGGAATAGTAGCCAGTTTTACAATAATGTTATTGTCCAATGGCAATTCAAATGAGCTCCCAATCTGAGTAAAGTACTCAACACAGAAATCAATGAAAAGGACATTCCAAAAGTCACACAGGATTATCACTCCCTCTATCTCACCTACTTGTAGCTGTATCTATCTCCTTTTCAAAAATAACCTCAAATAAGACTTCACAAATAATTTTCAACTACTTAGGAAGAACCTCTACAGTATTTATTTCTCTATTATATTAAACTAACTTATTTATAAGAAAAAAATATTCCACTTTGCGTGGCTCAGTGGTTGAGGATCGACCTATGAACTAGGAGGTCACAGTTCAATTCCCGGTCATGGCACATGCCTGAGTTGTGGGCTCAGTCCACAGTGTAAGGCATGCAGGAGGCAGCCAATCAATGATGCTCTCTCATCATTGATGTTCCTATCTCTTTCTCTCCCTTTCCCTTCCTCTGTGAAATCAACAAAAACATATTTTAAAAAAATAGAAGGCTAAATAGTCCTCTAATGGCCCAATGGAGCAAACATACTTCTTTAAGCATTGAACCAAGAAGTTAAATGATAACCAGCATTTGTTTTTTAATTTTAATGTACCTATATCTTCTAGGTATTTTGGTAACAATTTTAAAAATGTGTGTTATTGCCCTAACTGGTTTGGCTCAGTGGGTAGAGCGTCAGCCTGCGAAGTGAAGGGTCCCAGGTTTGATTCCGGTCAAGGGCACGTACCTTGGTTGCGGGCACATCCCCAGCAGGGGGTGTGCAAGAGGCAGCTGATCGGTGTTTCTCTCTCATAGATGTTTCTAACTCTCTATACCTCTCCCTTCTTCTCTGTAAAAAATAAATATATATTTTAAAAAATGTGTTATTATTCCAAAAGCAGTAAGATGACCTAATAATCTTTCAATAAAATTCAATAAATATTTATGATGGCATTCACCTTGCACTGATTAAAAACTGTGTGAAGGGACATGTTAAGTAAAATACAAAAACATACAAAAAATGTAATTTTCAGGTTTTCCCATAAAATACCACTACCAAACATTTATATATCTACTAGTGGCCCAGTGCACGGATTTGTGCACATTGAAAGGAAATTAATTAGAATTCCTGGGGGAGAAGGGGCGCTGTGGCTCGAAGGGTGTCTGCAGAGTGAGTGGGGTCCCTCTAGCAGGTGGGGTTCCTTGGCCTGGCCTGTGGGGATTGGGCCAAAACTGGCTCTCTGACATCCCCTGAGGGGCCCCAGAGTGCAAAAAGGCATTCTGCAAAGTTGCTGTCATACAGGGTGTGGAACGCAAACACAAGTGTGCAATAAACTAGATTTGGGGCTGACAGTGCTCCAGCAACAATATAACCCACAGCCAAAGGTGGAATCGCGTGGCCCTACAAGGAATCGGGCTTCCTTCTCTCTGGTTTTGGGATGCATCACCTGAGAACTGCCACTGCCAAGTCACCACAGCTCGGAAGCTCCTGCGTTGAGTGTCTGTACCCTGGTGGTCAGTATGTGTCAAACCTACCAGCAGGTCGGATGGTCGTATAGCCTTTTATATATATAGATTTATAGGTTTCCCCTAAAGCAGTGGTTCTCAACCTGTGGGTCGCGACCCCTTTGGGGGTCGAACAACCCTTTCACAGGGGCTGCCTAAGACCATCGGAAAACACATATATAATTACATATTGTTTTTGTGATTAATCACTATGCTTTAATTATGTTCAATTTGTAACAATGAAATCGGGGGTCACCACAACATGAGGAACTGTATTAGAGGGTCGCGGCATTAGGAAGGTTGAGAACCACTGCCCTAAAGCCTTGATAATATGTGTTCTCCTCTTTATAATGGACTAGAGGCCTGCTGCACGGATTCGTGCACCGGTGGGGTGCCTTGCACTGGTGCATGATCAGGGCTGGGGAGGGCTCTAGGGTGTGCCCGGCCCATTTCGCCCAGTCCTGATTGGCCAGACACTAGCAGCAAGCTAACCTACTGGTTGAAGCGTCTGCCCCCTGGTGGTCAGTGCACGTCATAGCTACCAGTCAAACGGTTGAACAGCTGGTTAGGCTTTTATATATATATATATATAGATGGCAGGAGGATAGTTTACCGATATTTCTTTATATTCACAATGAAATGATCCTGCATTCATTAATAATAAGATTGACCTTAAGTACTTCCTCATGCCAAGCACATTGCTAACCATGTTAGTGCATGAAGCTGATCCTTGCAGCCACCCTGGTGCAGCTGGAAGGAGTGTTGCCATCACACTGACAGAGAAAGCTCAGAGAGAGGAACTACACTGCTCAAAACCTAGTGAAGCCACTTGCAGATCAGTTATTTCTGGCCTCAAACTCTGGGAAGTTTTTGTTGTAATTAAATGTATATGCCTATAATATCCTTATATGCATTTAGTTATCATTATAATTTGTTTATGGGTGGATCTTGAGGCTAGATAGAATTTCATAGAGTAGGAAAAAGAACAAAAAAATTCTACTGGAACTTAAAAACATTTGAGGCTGATTTTCTGAAGGTTTGATGAAAATAGGGTGACTCAAGTTTCTCCCAGGCCAGTCTCTACATCCCAGTGACATCACACATGAAAATAGCCATGATGGTTAGAAATTAATGAAGTAGTTTTGTAGTCATTAGTAAATAGCCTCTACCCCAAGCACCCTGAATACCCAACCCACCCTGTTGCCCTGTTCTCTTCCCCAAAAACCCTGTAGACTGAGCCCCCTTAGAGCAACTGTAGCAAGAACAGCTGGTGTGGGAAGGGCTCCAGAACCCTGCTCCAGAATGCAGGAGTCCATTCGGATTGGTCAGTCTTCATGACATCCAAAGTATTAAATATTTGATTATCACTGATGGGTCCGGTTCTAATAGCAACACACAGCAATAGGCAGTCCTTCACACCAGGCATCACACTCTTGTGTGGAAAGGAAAACCACTGCATGTGATCCACCAGGCATGTCTGTGAAGATTCGAGGGCATGACTGCCCTGCTCTCTGCACTATACAGGAGCGTCATCTTTTGAGATCCTTCAATACACTGGGGATATTAAAAGACAGCATATTTTCCCACCGGTGTGGCTCAGGGCACATGCCTTGGTTGAGGGCTCAAAGCCCAGTGTTGGGTGTGTAGGAAGCAGCCAATCGATGATTATTTTCCAACATTGATGTTTCTATCTCTCTCTCCCTCTTTCTCTCCAAAATCAATAAAAATATATAATTTTAAAAAGATAGCATATTTTCTTACATTCTTTCATTAAAAACAAGTACATACTATATTTGTGACAGCTGCATGCACATGTGAAGTTATTGGTAGACAAAGTCTCCCATCTCTTGAACCAGGAAATTTCCCTTGGCTAGCTAGAAATCTTTGAACTCCAGAGAATAGGGACCCTGCATCCAACTCCCTCATCCTATCTAATAAAAAAGCAATATGCAAATTGACCATCACTCCAACACATAAGATGGCCGCCCCTATGTGGACACAAGAGGGCCAGCAGGAGAGGGCAGTTGGAAGCGACCAAGTCTGCAGGGAAGGACAGTTGGGGGGGACCCAGGCCTGCAGAGGAGGACAGTTAGGGACAACCAGCCCTGCAGGGGAGGGCAATTAGTGGTGACCAGGCTGGCAGGGGAGGGCAGTTAGGGGTGACCGGGCCAGCAGTGGAGGGCAGTTGGGGGTGACCAGGCCAGCAGAGTACGGCAGTTAGGGGTGACCAGGCCGGCAGGGGAGAGCAGTTAGGGGTGATCAGGCAAGCAGGGGAAGGCATTTAGGCATCAATCGGGCTGGCAGGGGAGTGGTTAGGGGGTGATAAGCCTGGCAGGCAGAAGCAGTTAGCGGCAATCAGGTAGGCAGGCAGGCCAGTGGTTAGGAGCCAGCAGTTCTGGATTGTGAGAGGGATGTCCGACTGCCCCTTTAGGCCCGATCCCTTGAGGGGTCCCAGATTGGAGAGGGTGCAGGCTGAGGGACACACACCACTCCCCCATGCACAAATTTTGTGCACCGGGCCTCTAGTCTTACAGATAAGGAAACTAGGAGCCAGGTTCACTGGGTCACTGGAAGACACTAAATCCCAATAGTTTTTTCTTCATTATGCCATGTACCCATAGCATTTAATTTAGAAGTGCTTAATGACTAGATTTTAAAGATAATCAGAATAGGAAAATAATTTTATTACTGTAATTAAACATAACTATAATATAACTATAATATCCTTATAAGCATTTAGTTATAATTAGAAGAGAAATTACTAAGAGAGATACATTTTGGGGGCAATATCTGACACTAAATGCATATTATACTCAGGGTAAGGCCCGCAAGCGCAGTTCAGATCAGCCTAAATATAATATACTAGCAGTTCATAAAATTCATGCACTTGTGACCGGGGGGCAGAGGGGGTCCTCACCCCGGCCTGTGCCCTCTTGCACTCCGGGAGCCCTTGGGGGATGTCCGATGGCTTCAGAGGCAGGAGAGGCTCCCACCACCGTCGCTGCGCTTGCCAGCTGTGAGCCAGGCTCCTGTGTTGAGCGTCTGCCCCTTGACCATCAGATGCCTCATAGCAACTGGTTATTCCACCATTTGGTCAATTTGCATTTTAGCCTTTTATTATCTATATATATAAAAGCCCAGCAACCAGAACAGCGGAACGACCAGAACGACCAGTGGCTATGAGGCACACTGCGGCAGCCAACCAGCCTGATCCAGGCCCTGATTTCCCCCTCCACCTCCCTCCGCCCCCGATCTGGCCAGCCCAGCCCCTGATTAGGGGTGGGGCCGGCCGGCCAACTGGTCATGGCCCCTCCCCCTTACTGGCGCGGCCCAATGGGCCCCCATCGGGGTGGGCCATCCGGACCGAACCTATGCACAAATTTGTGCACCAGGACTCTAGTATAGGATAAGTGATAAAAATGTACTATTTTAGAACTTGCTTCTTTTCCATAAAGTAAATGATATCATTCCTTAGCCTTCCTATATAAAATGAATACTAACTGGAATATTTTTAACCCTTTTAACACTAAACTATACATATTTTCTCAGTTTGAAACATAGAGAATCTTTGAGCAATGATAGGTTTCTCCAGCTAACCCAGAAGATGGTATTTCAGCTCTCCTACTCTGCTATTCAAGACTTTGGGAAGGCACTTGAAAAAGTGAAGAAGAGATAACAGACAGGGCATGGAAGGGTGGTGGAAAAGAGTCATATCCCAAGGTAATATAACTTAATTACCTCTTAACTTTCTATGATATAGTGTACATAAAATTCCACTAATTTTATTAGAGGAGCATGATTTTTGGTTTGAATATACTGAAACAGAACAAATTAGTTTACAGTTTGGAAGCATTTTCATAAAACTTTTGATTACTAGCTATATAGACCAGAGCTTGTCTCTTTAAAAAAATAAAAATAAAAATAAAATATCATTAAATTAAAAAGCCAGATTCAAGACGTTATATATTTGTTCTTATAATATAATTCTCCACATTTTTATTGATATGTAAACCAGTTATTAAAAATTGACCGAATATGTAGGAACATAGAGATAACCAATTAGATAACACTGCTTTGTATTTTCCTTGCAATGAGAAACTGTATATATTTTGATAAAGGGACACAACTCCACTCAGCAAGTAGCTCTGTGTATTGTGGTGAATTCCTGAGCAATTACAGAACTTTCCTGGAATGCCCAGTGGTCTCTAGATAAATTCCTTCACCCTGTATGGTAACAACATTTCAGGTAGACGCATTTCCTGCTTTTATCTAAGCACTAAAAGAACCTTTGTGAGTTTGGGATGAGTCACGGTGTATCCCTTTCTTACTATCAGTAACTTTTAAGCATAAAAGACAACGTCAATATTTATTCTCTTAACTGAATTTTGCTCAGTACAAAATACATTTTGGCTCAACAAGTAGTCAATAGCAGACTATCACTGAACACCAAAAGCATGATATCTTTACACATATTTTAATTACTTTTTCTTTAAAGAGTATGGATTTTAATTCTGCTAGAATTTCCTGTGTTCTTCCACACCAGCGTCATAGGAAATCCTAATGTTCTCAAGATTTCTTTTCATTTCATTGCACCTGCTCTTCAGGATCAACAAGTTAGTTTACAAGCTTCAAGTCTCAAATCCAAAATACTTACTTGTGGGTGAAATAAGAATCCTGGAGAAGGTCTCAAGTATTTCTCTTTTAAAGCTTCAAGTGGGTCAGTTAGTTTTCTTTTCTCTACTCTGAAAGGTTAAAATTAGATTTGGGATATGAATCAGACTCATATATCAATTACTACACAATCACTGACATTTAAAACAGCTCACAGTAAAGCAAATGGTAGGTTTCTGGGAAGCACACTGATAAAAATATAAAGGCATCTGTTCAGTTCTTAAAGAATACTTATGGCACTTCTAGGCATGCAAAGAGAGGAGGTCCTATTTATATGGAAAAATCCTATTGAATGACTAGTCATTATAATGAGGAAATATTTCAAAAAAATGAAGTCATGAAATCAGAGGCAACTGGTGATAAGTCTGTACCTTTCCACTCACTTTGTAGACAAGAATGCTTGGTGACTTTGAAATCGTGAGGACAGGGTTCATTTTGAAAATTAAAATTATTTTCTACCAAGAAGGTGCTCCCCCAAATATTCATAATATCTCTTCCATATTTGCCAATAATGGCAGGAGAGTTTCTAAGCATACTGTACACCCTGCTAGCCACTGTTTGAGGTGTAAGCATCTTCTTTTGGATGCCACTGCTGATAAACAGGGCAGGTGAAGCGGGGAGGTGGGTGGGAAGAGGATGAGGATCTATTTGAAGATAGAGAGCGACATCCAAAACTTATATATATAGCCCTCTGCATTAGAAATGTTTGTCATTCTATTTTCTATTAAGCATATAGGAAATGACATGACTTACCAACTGTGGGTAAGTTTCTTTTAAAAGCTTGAATAAGTACACTTTTAAAATAGAATCAAAATGAATAAAAACAGCTACCACTGCTTGAAATTTTATATATGCTAGTTTTGCATACACTATTTCACTTATTAAAATAGGAGCTCTTCTATCCTTTTGATGGGTGAAAAAATATTTAAGACAGGAAAAGATGAGATTTCAACCCAGTTTTTACACTAAAATGGGTGTAGTCCTTTCACAAGTTTGGTAGAATGACAGGCTTAAGGTCTTAGTTGAGGCAAATACCAGAAAGAAGATTGAGATAAAAGTAAGCAAAAGTAAAGTTAGGAGACGGTAGACACGAATATAATGGGTTAAAAAGTCCATTTCATTGGGAGGGTCTAAGAAAGAGAGTCTGAGAAGTTATCTTCACAAAGGATATATCACTGAGTTGAAAATACAACTCTATGGGCAATGTGTAACAGACAATCTACACACAAAACATGGCAGATCTGTTTTCCATTATTTTCCTTCTCTTGTAATGGGTCTGCCACAGGAATTAAAATTAAGATATAATAATTTTTTTGCGGGGGAGGTACCCAAGCATGATATACGGATGGCTCTGATATACTTTTGATAGTCCTTTTTTATTCCTCTTGTCATTTTCAAGTAAAAGTATCCCTTAACATACTAGCAATGTTTCTTGTTTAATGTGTTGTTGATAATATGGGTTGAAAAAAAGTTTAAATAATAAATTTTATAACTCTAGTACCTATTAAGCAAAAGAAATTCAATAAATATTATTAAATGAAAGAATAGTTTGTCTCTTGTCCTGGCTGGGTAGTTCAATTAGTTAGAGCATCGTCCTGATACACCACAGTTATGGGTTCGATCCCTGGTCAGGGAATACACAAGAATCAATTAGTGAATGCATAGTAGAACAACAAATTGACTCTCTCTCTCTCTCTCTCTCTCTCATCTCTTCCTCCTTCCTTTCCTCTCTCTCTCAAATCAATTAAAAAAAGATTGCCTCTTCACAAAAGAGAACCTGACAAAAATATGCAAATACTTTCAGCTTAAATAATTCCAATAAAAAAGTATCTACACCTTTCATTAACTCCTGATGATGTTCAAGATTTGGTTGAGAAAGTAAATGTGGAAATGGTAAGATTTAAAATACATAATAAACATAATTACTGTTCTTCATACCTTTTAAAGAAAATTAGTATTTAAAAACTAAATCATTCCGAATGGTCAAGTGACTGCTACAATATGCTGCATAACGAGCTTTTTATTAAGCATGTATGTGTCCCCCAAAGAATTTTTGGATGCATTCAAGGAAACTGGATAATGAAAGCATTAAACAAAGATGTGTTTTCTTAAGCCAACCACTCACATTATATACAGAACATTTTTGTGATTAATATTTCACTTACTTGGGGCTCCTAACAGGTTTATTTAGAAACAGAATATGAACAGTGTTTACCAAGGATTGTTGGTAGGCTGATAAAACGTAAACTCTTGCTGTTCTGTGTCCCATCTCATTCCAAATAACCTGACCCATTTAAGTACCCACACATATTTGCATTAATCCGTCAGGAGCCTCATTCTTCCGCCACTTGACAACTTGCTTTAAATATGACTTTCCCATATTTTCCACTTTAAAAAGAGTGTTTAAAAATAAATTTATTGTCAAAGGAAAGAACTCTGTGGGTCTATTCCAAAACCCCAAATTCAGAGTCATCCAAAAATAAGTCCAAACTTCAACTTTCTGAATAAAAACGAATTTCCTCGCTCAAACAACTTCACTTTCTGTTTTATTATAATAGTTAAAATGGTTGGTTAAACACTGTAACTCCATACCGTCAACACTAGCTTTCATGCCTATGTCCACACTTAAACGCTTCCCATCTACCCTTACCTGTAGATAGGGTCCATGAAGAAAGGAGTGGGTCTTGCATGCTGCAAGGAGCCATCTGATGCAGATCTTGGTTCAATGTTGCTTCCTTTCTTTTCCCCAAACACATGGTTTTTTCGAGGCTCAGTAAGCTTTGTCCCACTGGCTCTACTCCTACTGCCCATACTTAGATCCAGGGGCTGGTCTTGACTTGTGGCTGGCGTGGCTGAAGGCTTGGAGGGTACTGGAGTCAAGGGCTTCTCATCCTTTCGCTTAGTGGTGAGATCAAAGGGAGACTCAGAGCTTCCCTTCTGCAGTTTCTTTACTTCACTTGGTGATTGGGGTTCCATTTTCAAGGGTAACGATCTCAAGTCTCTATCAGGAAATGGGTACATTGACTGAGAGAATGCTGGAAAAAACGGGAGGGGAAACATGGAAGGGTAAGGTAAAGCTCCAACTTTTTTGTCTTGCAGCCCCACCAGTCCTGTTGAACCAAAGTATTTTTCAGCAATAGAAGCAATAGCCTTTATAGAATCATTCACAGCTCCTGACACCGCAGTCTGCTCCTCTAAAGATGGTGAGAAAATGGAATGATTGCTGTATTCTTTCTTATTATGTATTGAAGCCAGATTCTGAAGAGGGCTTACTTTGTCTTTGAACATTTTACCATTTTCTTTAAATTTTTCTTTATCACTTTCAATGTCACTTTCCAGATCAGAGCCCGAGGTTGTCTCCAGGTCACTGCCACTTGGCGTACTGACATCATCAAGGTCACTACTCTCTGACTGGTCACTGATTTTCTCAAGGGGCCTCTCTTCAGAGGACCTCTCGGGCTGGAGCTCCACTGGCTTATTGTCCCCTACAGGTGGGTGTTTAGATAGTGCCTTCAAAATATCCTGTGTAGCTGGCAGTATCTGAGGATGTGTCATGAGGGGACTTTGACTTTTGTTTGTCTGTTCAGTACTTGATAGTCCTTTAACAGGAGAACTAGCAGGTATCAAAGGAGGCCTGTGGTACAAGCCGGAAGGAAACAGACCAGGGAAGCTAAAAGAAAATCCAGGAGCTGTTGGAAAGGTAAGACCAGCAGGGTGCCTATTGGCACCAAAATAGTCAGCAAGGCCCGGGTTGGCATGACTCATATTAACCATGGACGTTTTATCCATAGCTGGGGTTCCAGGAAGTGAAATGCCTTGGCCAAAAAATCCACCTGCCGCAAAGTGGTTCTTGCCCTCACAAAACCTCCTGTGCTTATTTAAGGAAGACGTAGTGCTGAACATTTGTCCACAGTCTTTGCACTTGATTTGGGTTCTGCAATCAGCATGCATGCGCTTATGACGACAAAGGTTTGAAAACTGAGTATAGGATTTATGGCAGACCTCACCTGTGTGCAAACAACAAAAAAGAATCTCAGGCTTTATGGCAATTGCTTCTGAATTTAGCAAGTATCACAATTGGTTTACCCCAAATTTCAATTAGGAAGCCAGGACGAAATGTTGGAGGCACCAAGCTGGGCGCTCCGAACACAGAAAACCCCGTTTCACTAGATTCCAAAGCAAGGCATCCAACCTGACAAATGTCTTGAGGCAGCACAATTATTTCATATATATAAAAATATTCTTATCATCCCCATTGCATAATATGTGGCATCATATTTTTGTCCTTAAATATTCATGAAAAAGTCAAATCCCAGCAGACACTGACTTCCCACCCAATTGCTACTCAACAGAAACTTTCAAATGAACGTCTTTAGGTATAACATGAAACATAACAGGAACCCCTTCAACAGTTTAGACCATGTAAAGAACTCTATATTGTAGGCACCAGAACAAAATAAAACAGCCTTCCCCTCAACCAGAGACTTCACCTTTATTCCCTCTCCCCTTGGGGGAAAAAGCCTGTGACCGCTCTACCATTATTTAATTTGAATTATATCATATGCTCTCATCATTCACACATCAAAGCCACACAACAATGCACATTGTGTATTCTGAGACATTTTTAACAATCATTTTCATGATTTCAGAAAGACTGACATAATTTACAATGGCTCTATTTTAAGCCTGCAAAGGAAACTAAATTGAATGTAGCCCATCCTGCATTGCTGGTTCCCATGAACTATGATCACGTCCTCTGACTTCCCCTCACACCAGTGGTTGTGCTAACCTTCCTGCATTTATGAAACCCCTGTGCTTGGGAAACATGTCCACTTGTTGTCATATCTTCACCGGTTATCTCAGGGCTTGCCTTCTCTGTGCTATAGCCAACTACGGTAAAGCGGGAGGGCTGGGGGTGGGGACAGGGGTGGAGGGGGGGTGGGTAGGGAGGCACTCTGAATGCTCTGGGCCGGAAAGAACACAGCAGTGGGTGTGGCTGGGAAATAACCCTCTTCACTGAGAATTTGCAAAAACAGTTGCACATCTTCCTCCTCAAATATGTGCGAACAGATCTCAGTATATTTTAAGACCAAACTCGGTAACCCTTGAGAAGTCCTTTGCTAGGTAAGAATCCCACTGACTTACTTTATGGTGCAGCGGGATTATAGGATCCCATTTCCTAAGCATCCCATTTTTATTTTACTTTAGTAAAGACGAGCCCACTTTATATGGGAAGCTTAATGTAATGCTCCCGTGAAGGTTTAAGAGATGCAGAAATATGATATGCCTCCTCGGTAATTGTTGAAACAAATTTATAGAAGAAATTAAATTGAAGACAAAATATAACATTTATGGCTTTCATGTGATGGCTGTCCTTCAGCAGAGAGTGGCTGAGCCCCTGAGTCAAAGCAATAATAATTAAAAAAATAAAACTCACGCAAAGGAGATTTTACAGACCTTCAGTCACCTAAAACTCACCCAGAACTTGGATGATCCCACACACCACCAATAGGATGCAACCAAGTGATTCCATATCTAGCTCTTATATTACTAACAGTGAAAATGCATGACTACATATATCAGTGTGCTTAGTAATATGAAAGGAGTTTTCAATTGTGGGATGATTCATAACATTGTTGAGAAGCATAATAATCATCTTAATGGGAAGAGAAGTGATTACTTTTCAAGTCATTATTCTGGAATATATTGACCAGAGTCTCCTTTAAAAGTATATACTAGTTAACCATATACAATATGTATGTGTATA